CAGAAGCTTCCTCTGAACTGGTTGTACATTATTAAGCAAGGGAAGACTTCAGACGCTGGTGATTTGTATTGCTGCCTTACTGGCTTATATACGATTTTGCTTATATATGTGAATTATGGAGACTGATTGCAATTATTGCTGTTATTGAACTAATGTTCAAAATGCAACACTTATGAGCTTTGCTTGAGAAGCGTCTCTGCTATATGCATTCCCACAATTTTACACTTTAAATCTATCGTACCCCGCAGAAACAGTAGAGACACTGTAGATAAACAAAACCAAAATGAAGTGAATAATTATGATCGTAGTCCAGAATGGTGATCAGACAAAAGGTAGCTTGAAAGCAACATTAAAAACCAAGAGACCACAAAAATGTTTTGTACATGACAAGGGATTTTTTTTTTTAGTGTACCAGCTACATTTTTTATATAACCTTGGTGTATTCTTTCTCCTTAGATGCGCTCTGTGTCTGTGGATCTAAACCATGATGCCTCTCTTCTCATTGACATTCCTGATGCACTCTGTGAAAGGGACAAAGTCAAGTTTACTGTCCATACAAAGGTAAGAAGTATTCTCTACGGGTACGTTGATATGTTGACAGTTCTCTTTACAAATTATAATACTGTGTATATTTGCAGACCACACTGAGCTCTTTCCAGAAGCCAGAGTTCTCCGTTCCCAGGCAGCATGAAGACTTCATCTGGCTGCATGACACACTGGTTGAGACTGAGGACTATGCTGGACTAATCGTGAGTTTTGCTTCTTGCAGACAAGTAGAAAAGGGCCGTAAGATCACCGTTTGTCTTAATTTGTTTTTGTAAATGAGAAATTAAAGCACAGGTTGATTGTTATGTGTAGATTGCAAAATAATTGAGCACCTCAACTTTTCCTTTAGGATGTATATTTTTACTGTATATGTTACACATTAAAGGTACAGTATGTAACATTTAGGAGGATCTATTGTCATACATGGAATATAATATTCATAAGTATGTTTTCGTTTGTGTGTAATCATCTGAAAATAGGAATCATATTGTCTCATTACCTTAGAATGAGCCATTGTTATCTACAGGGTCCTCTTCTGCAGAGGCCACCATATTGAACTGCCGTGTTTCTAGAGTAGCTCAGAGTGGACAAACATGGACTTCTGCCTTTTTTGGTTTTGCGGCCACTGTAGTTTCTCCTGTGCTTGGTTGAGTCAGTGCTAGACAAAACACAAAGTCCTACAAACTGGTCCTTTAATTTAACCTGTCATTAGTTTTGAAAGTAACTTATTTCCTGCTTTATCATTCATAGATTCCTCCAGCGCCCCCAAAGCCTGACTTTGAGAGCCCAAGAGAGAAGATGCACAAACTGGGGGAAGGTGAAGCCACTATGACCAAGGACGAGTACACTAAAATGAAGCAAGAGCTGGAAGCGTGAGTGTGACACTCAAACGAAACACCATGAATCATATTGTGTCCTTCAGACAGTGTCATAATACAGAAGCTGCATGTAATACAAAAACTATTTATTTCTGTATTAATTATGTATATAATGTTTGCTGTTTTTCTTTTCAGTGAATACCTGGCTGTGTTCAAGAAAACTGTCCAAGTGCACGAAGTCTTCCTGCAGAGATTGTCCTCTCACCCCACTTTAAGCAAAGACAGAAACTTCCAGATTTTCTTAGAGTATGACCAGGATGTGAGTTCCTCATAATGCTGACTTCCTTTCCAGAGTTGTCAGTTGGAAAGAGAGGAAGTAGAGTTTACTGGAGACTGGTGACACATGGCTTACATCCTGCTGTGATCAGCAGTTATGCTTATCTGTGTAGTCTTTGTCAGTCAGTGGCCGTGGTATTTGCTAACAGAAGAAGAGTTAAAGACTTCATATACTTGTAACATGCAGCAAAAACAATGAACTATTGGTGAAGTCACAGACATTATTTCAGTCCCATCTTAGTTCCCAGAATGTCGTCTAATAAGCTTGACCAAATACATCATATTCCTCTCATTGATTGTAATAAATTCCCTTTCTACATTCTGTCATTTTAGCTCAGCGTGAGAAGAAAGAATGCCAAGGAAATGTTTGGAGGATTCTTTAAAAACATGGTGAAGTCAGCTGATGAGGTCCTTATCTCAGGAATAAAGGTGGGGCTTCTGCATACAGTACATGCATGACAGCATCACAGACTTGTTGTATCCAATGTTGTCGCCACTTCCCCACCACTTACCTTTTGTCTGCGTGTTTGTTTCCTCCACAGGAAGTCGATGACTTTTTCGAGCAGGAGAAAACATTCTTGCTCGACTACTCCAGCAAGATAAAAGATTCCACTGCCAAAGCAGAGAAAATGACCCGTGCACACAAAAGTATTAGAGGGTTTTTTACATTACCATATTTAATCAGATTTTTAATGGAGTGGAATAAATTAATTTATAATTGGAATTTGCTCAGTTTTTAAGGCTAATTTCTGTTGTCACAGATATTGCGGATGATTACATTCACGTCTCTGCCACTCTGAACAGTCTCTCTGCTGATGATAGTACAGCAAATAAGAAGTGAGTTTAATATGTAATTTAAGGATTTTATTTTTTATTTTTTCTCTTTTGGCCTCTTGTGGACAAAAGTTGTATTAATTCAGATCTTTATCAAAGACATAATTGTAGAGTTTTTTTCACATTATGGCTTTTCTTTTTTTCTCAGGCACCTGGAGAAGTTGGCAGACCTGTTTGAGAAGCTCAGAGTAAGTAGGACTTTAGTTACAAACTAACTGAGATACGGCAGAAAGGTTTTGTCCTGATTTTGTCTATGTGTGTATGTATATGTCTTCATCTGTGTCCCTGCAGAAAGTAGAGGGAAGAGTAGCATCTGACCAGGAGCTGAAACTCACAGAGCTGTTGAGATATTACATGAGAGACATCCAGGCAGCCAAGGTGAGACATGTTTATCCTCAGTCTTCATACGACATGCAGATACTCACAGCTATGTTCCTTGTTCATGAATTTCACATTTTGCTGTGTTTCAAATTCTCGATGCAACCCGTTCCAACCAGACAGAACAATATTTAGATTAGCCATTATTGTCTCTCTTAGGAGAAGTTTGTCTCGGGCAGTTGAGAGAACTGTTGACTTAAAAGCACACATGTACAGTCAAACTACACATAACAAGCTGTATCATATACACACACATCTATAAACACCAAAATATACACACCAAGAATATTGCACAGATGCTATACACCAATATATTGCACAGGACTCACAATACTGGAAATAA